ACCAAGCCAGCCGGGGACTCTAGCGAGTTGAAGGAAGCTACCATCGACGAGACCAAACCAGCCGAGGAATCTAGCGAGTTGAAGGAAGCTACCATCGACGAGACCAAGCCAGCCGAGGAAGTCAAGAAGAATGATATGACTGAGCCGACAATTGAGACCTTTGCTGCAGAGCCCGTTGGCAAAGGTGAGTTGGAGAAAGACAAGACAGGTGACACACTCAGGAAAGATGAGGTGACTGAGCCGAATGAGATTGAGATTGCTGATTGGGAGACCACGATGGAAGCTACAAAGAACGAGGATGAAGAAAACATTGACTTTGACATTGGTTTTTTGTCTTCAAATTCAACGGTCAGCCAGGTGATCAATGCGAATCAAAAAAAATATAAATATAAAAAAAGTACAGTACAGCTCATTTAAATACAGGAAACAACCATAGACCATGGACCAACCATATTCAGCGGGACTTAGCTTGCATGACTCAGGTTCAACCAAGATGTCAATGGTGAAGTACATGATCCCAACGCACTGCTTGAGCGAGCGCTTGCTGAATACCCGGACACGGAACGTGTATACGAATCTGCTGCCAAGGTGAGGTAGTGCTTCTAAACTTCCTACTCTACTAATTACTACTTTCCACTTTCCACTAACCAACTTTAACCAACTAAACAACTTTTTGTTGTTTCCCTTCCCCCCACTGATTTGCAAAGGTGATGGCAGCATCGCTTCTCAAGCATGACAAGGAAACTCCAGGTTCAACTATCCGGGAGAACTTGCTCAGCTGGCCATGTAGTGTCACTACTGCATCAGCTTGTTCTGGAACGGGGTCGTGACTTGGTTCGTACCTGAAGGATTATGATATGAGATGCAATGATAATACGATTCGATGATTCATATCATACGAAATTGTATATTAGGTTGTAAAATTGATATTTATAATTATGATTCTATGATTCTTCAGTGTTCTTTGTCATCTGTGTAGCTGGTAGAGTGCCTGTGCACCCCGCCCCAGGTTCGAGCACTGTGCCACCGTTGCTTATGAGACTCTCACTGAATTCTTTGACATCGAGAATCCAGACGCGGAGGCCTTGTCTCAAACCTGTTGGCCGTTGTAGTTGTATCCATTGATAGATCGCCATTTCTTCTGGAGCGACATGTCACGAAAGACTTGTGGAATGCCAGGGTGTGATGCCGACCTTTGGTGCGGAGTGTGTGCCGTTCAAGATTGACTACCTGAAAAGAGAGTTTCCATCTGAGGCATATTGCATCTTTGAGGCTGCAACACAGCTTTTGTTGAGAGAATCAGAGATATATTGAACATTGTTTCTGATGTGCAGTGCACAGTGATTGGTGTTTGTTAGATGATAGCCCAGCCTTTATGAGAGCGACATGGAGCCATGAGTCTGAGTCACCATCATTCATCCCCAATGTCAAAGTCAATAATATTCAGAATCATATCATTTCATATCATAATCATAGCATTATCATTTATGTGAATGCATTGGCTAAGCCACTTCAGGATGTCACCGTGATCAAGGAGGGCAAGGGCATTAAGAACAAGGATGGAAGCCTAAAGCAGCGAAGGTGCGAGGTCCACAAGTCTACCGAGTGTGAGTTGCCTTGGGAGGTAACCCTCTTTGGTGCAGGCTTTAGTTGCACCAGCTACTCAAATCTGAACAAGGACTGTCACAAGAATGCAACCGCTATGGCTAGAAAAGACAAAGCTGATGAGTCTGAGGATTCTTGCTCTTTGCTTGTTGAATTTTTGTTCCCCTCCGCTGCACACCTTTGTTGGTTGCCCCAAGACATACTCAGTGTTTCAGCTGTGCAACCGTTCGCGTGCACTGCCTAAGGCAAAAGTGGCATCCGTATCTACCTTCGAAGGTTGTTTGGATATATTGGATGAATGCACTCCTTGGATTGCAATCTTTGAAAACGTGCAAAGCATTGATCGTGAGGTTGAAGAAGAGTTGTTATTTGGTTGAGAATTCAGAATAAACCAAATCAGAAGTTTTTTGTTTGTTCGCTGAACTCCATTGATCCATTGCTGAATACATACTGCTGTGTTCAATAAGTATTTCATGATTCATCGTTCACAGCTTGCATACATTTGTGACATACCACATATCACATCACTTAATAGATAACTAACTAGATTAACTATCCTGGATCACTTTTTCCATAAGACACGCTGCTAGCAATTCCACAGTCATAGCCGGCAGAAATTGCACCAAGGCAAACAAACCTAGAGGTGTGCATTCAAGAGATTGAAGAGCGAAATTATGCTGCTCAATCGTTTCTCCTGGACGCAAGCTGGTTTGGACTTCCCCAAAGCAGGAAGCGTGTGTATATAGTTTGCTTGTCTCTTTCTTGCAGAGAGATCAGTACAAGCGCTGTGGAGTTCTTTGACACTGTCAAAACACTTTTGAAGAAGGTCTATATCACTCCACCTCCTGCGGAATCTTGACAGGGCTTAATGAGACACAGTGATACTGGATACCTGGATGCTGC